CTTTATGTGCTGAGAATTAACTGATTTCTGTGACGTGAGGCGGCTAGCAGACGGTCGGTTTAGCCAGTCTTTCTGCTTCCTGACCCGGGCCCCAGTTAGTCAAGTACAGACTCTAAGACAATAGCCCCTTTCACACACACAGTCTTTACTGGTAAATTACCGTTAAGAGATCATGTGTGAACAGGACCTTTTAAAAAATACCGGTAAATTCGTCCCGGCAATTTTCCAGTATAAGGACTTGTAACATTACCAGTAAATTACCGGTAATGCGCTCTGTGTGAACGCAGCACAAGATTAGCGGTATGAGCACGTACAAGTATAGAACGCGCTGACGTAAGACTTCTACTCTGGGCCAATCATAACATTCTGATGCAGGTGACGCATTTACTCCATGCTGTTTACGGAAGTCAAAGAAATGTCTAAAGATGTCTCTGGGCCAAAAGCAGCTGCATAAATGTGAACTTTTGACACAAAAGTGAAAACATCAACAAAAACACTGACCATTGATGAGTGAATGGTGCTTTACCGTAAAAAAGATGGAACATCGTTGTAAACAGCGTGTTTTTTAATTTACTGGTAAAGTCGTTCCGGTAATTTAACCGCAATTTACTGGTATTACTGTGTGAAAGGGGCCATGTTTCTAGAGAGAATAGCAGTGTTTTGTCCAGCAACTATGGGGCCTCATAGTCGCTCTGCTGTGGGGGCTCTGCAAACGGAACCGATTTATGTACGGGACTACATAATCTAAGGCCTTCTGAGGCTAAGGGTCCAACTAAGGCCCTCACATTCTTACTATCCTCAGTTAAAGTTTGGATGCGTGTCTCTAGCTCTGAAATCTTCTCTGTCAGCCTAACTATTTCCCTGCATTTATCACTTGATATCCCTCACCGCTGGCAGAGAAGGCTACACTATACATGTGGCAAGCAGTGCAAGTGACAATTACAGGAGAAGAGGCCATGATGACTCACCGTGATTGTTGAATGATTCGGACTTACCACAGTTGTTTGATGAACTTGTGAAAAACGGAGCGAGAGAGAGAAAAGAAACTGAGCGAGAGATAAATGAAACGGTATGGTGCGAATGACAGGCTAACAGGCTAACGAAATGCTAACGCGCTGCGCTACCGGTTTTGATTAAAAAGCGAACGGTGTCAAATTAGTTTGATAGATAATATCAGAAATATGGTGAGAATTAAGATATATTTTAGCAGTTTAGACAACAGAGAGTGATAGTAAGATTCCAACAGAAAAACAAAGCTACACGGAGCTACAATCGCAAAACCACTGAGCAGCACAGCAGACAGGAACCAGAAGTCAGAGCAACAGGTTCAGTTGTTATAGTGTCAGGCAAATGCATAAAATAAAATGTACTAGATTTTAATGATATTACTGTCCTAAAATTGCTGTTCTGGTTGTAGTACTAACGGAATGCTAACGCGCTGCGCTAGCGGTTTAGATTAAAAAACGAACAGTGTCAAATTAGTTTGATAGATAATATCAGAAATATGGTGAGAATTAAGATATATTTTAGCAGTTTAGACAACAGAGAGTGATAGTAAGATTCCAACAGAAAAACAAAGCTACACGGAGCTACAATTGCAAAACCACTGAGCAGCACAGCAGACAGGAACCAGATGTCAGAGCAACAGGTTCAGTTTTTATAGTGTCAGGTAAATGCATAAAATAAAATGCACTAGATTTTAATGAGATTACTGTCCTAAAAGAGCTGGTCTGATTGTAGTATTAAAACGTTTCAGTTACTTACGTAACCTTGATTCCCTGAGATAAAAGAACAAGTGTTTCATTAATACGCTTATGGAAAACTCCTGTTTACTCTGATACTGAAACCTGATTTGATCACATTCGTGTAGCTGCATGAACCAATGGGCATCATCACAATCTTTCGACTGAAGCGTCAGTCATCGACTCGCGTGCAGCCTTATGGCATGGCAGCCTACACACCAATCATTCCCTAATCTCAGGGAACCTAGGTTGCATAAGTAACCGAAGCGTTCCCTTTCGAACGGTCTCTCCCGTTGCTTAACACGCTTAACGCATCCAATAGCGCCGTGCTATAAGCAAGTGCAGAACGAAGCCGCTGTGTGAGCCCAGCCCCAGAGCACCCATGCTAAGGGCTCCTGTAAGCATGAGCTAATAATGAGACCCAAGCCTCTTAGGCTGAGGACTACATAGCACAACCCTCCCAAACTTACGAAGGGGGTTAGGTAAATTAAGTGGACAAAATCCATGTTTGCAGGACAGGAACGTCCAAGTTATAAAACCGGGTGAAGGTAGACGGTGACGACCAGTTGGTGGCCGCACAGATATCAGATATAATAGAAATCCTGTTGGACCAAGACCAGGAGGAGGCCATTCCTCTGGTGGAGTTGGCCCTCACTCCTATAGGACACTGTAAGCTCGCTGAGGCATAAGCCAGGGCTATAGCATCCTCTATGAGATAGTCTTTGCTTTGTAACTGGCAGCCCTTTAGAGTGGCCTCTGAAGCATACAAAGAGCTGTTCTGAGTGCCGAAATGGGCCAGAAACAGGAAGGCTCCACAGCTCTGGCCGAGAATGCCAAATCATGCACCTCGCTTGCGAGAGGAGGTCCATCCTCAGTGGTATCGGCCAGGGGGCTTCCGATAGCAGCTGAATCAACTTGGTGAACCACATCTGTTTCCTCCAGATTGGGGCCAACAGGAGGATCGAACAGCTGACTTCCCTGACCCGT